TGTGCTTTGTCTGAGGACCATGGAGAGATACAGCCTTGGCACCTATGTGGGAAGAAAGATCAATGACTTTGGAAGGAATATGCACTAAACTCATTGTTTCAGGTAAATTGTGAGCAAGAACATAACATTTTTCAGAAATAACATGGCAAAGCTGAACAGTTAGTTTACAGCTCCATTGCCTTCTCTGACACTTCAGTATTATCGTTCCTTTTGTTTTGTAGGACTTGAAACTACACTCTATGGAACATTATTTAGACAAAGGAAAGTAGGTAAATATTTTTCCTTCAAAGTCATCAATATTATTGGAGAGAAGAAAATAACTCGTCGTTCTGAGAGTGTTTTCTGCTGGGAAAAGGAGTTTCTACATAGCCTTACATGGCGAATTATAGCCAAGGTGAACTGTCCCAATGGACTAGACACCTACCACGATGTGAAAAATATCTTAATTGTGGCCTTAGAAGTCACAGTAATAAAATCAAGGATAGTCTTCAGGCTCATAACAGGATAATATTACAGTACATTTTTATAAAGTGCCCTTATTTGTCCTTCTGTAAATTAATTCAAATGCAGCAATAAAAATAGATGAATGGAACTTAATGAAATGAGAAATAGTTATACCTTTACCTCTTCACAAAAGGATTCTTCTGAGCCTTGTACTAAAGCTCAGAGCCTTTTTTAAGATAATTGCAGGAGTGGATGGCAGAGGTGAGGTTGTGAGGTTGAATACTACCTATAGTTAGGGGAATTTGTGCGATTGCTGCTGTGTTGCTACAACAAGGCTGCAATAACACAAGTGAAGGCAAGGAAGCAAAGAAAATCCAGGCAGTCACCAGAATAAAGTTGTTCAAATGCTGATGCTGCAGCTTCTCAGATGAACAGTCTGCCCTTCTGAGTATCCACTTTCTGGAAAACTAATGTCCTTGGGAGAGATGGAAAACAAATCAGAAATCTATATTACTCCCCCTTTTTAAAGTGGCATAAAGTCTGGAATTCTGTGTGCTTTGAGAAAGAAATAGAGATCAGCTGTATCTCAAAAAAGACATGGAAAAATACTGTAATGAGAGTGATCCTTATTTTTGTGCTGAGTTTTAAATGCTGGACTTGTAGCATAGAAACAATTAGGCAAAAAAGAAGCATCTTGGCAGAAATCTTTTGGATGTGAGAATCAACATCATTATAAATAGCAGACAAAGACTATCCCCTAGGATGGGATTGTGAAATGTCTCCTAATTTAACAGAGACAGGAAGGGACTTGACTCTTCCTGGAAGCTTGTGACTCCCACAGATCTCAGTGGGGCTTTCATGTAGTCAAAGCATTGCAGGCACAGGTTTGACTACTGCAAACAGTTTTTCATAGACATACCGAGCTTGTCACCAATTCAAATGGAAAGAGCACACCTCATAATATGATTCAAATGGCTTGAATCCCCTACCAATTTGAAGCACCTTCATGTATAAGACCCACACATGTTTCTTACAAGGCTGGTGCAGCCTTTGCCTTCTAAGGGAAGGAATGAAACAAGTTTCGTGGCAAAGTGCTCCACCTCTCCAGTAGTTTTAGCATACAGTGTGCTTTAGTTTCAATGAACAGACACTAAGAGAATGCCAAACTAGCTTCAGCAGCAAATGTGTAAGCATATATTTAATTAAGCATGCAATTAACTGAGTCTTTGCCTGGTCTAGACTTCCATGTGCCAGTGTGCTGTCAGCAAGCCAAAGGCCAAAGGATATCACAGTTGTACAGAAAAAAGGTGGGGGGAACTGACAGAGCAGCAAATGAGATGAACATAGAAAGAAATGTTAATTTGAGCTACACAGAAAACAAATCACTTTCTGCTGTGCTTTTCCTTTAACTTTGCCACCGCAGCACTGCAAAGAGATACAAAAAATATTGCAGGATGCAAATGAATGCATTGACACTCCTAGTGAAGCTAAAAGGAGACTGGCCAGGAACCAGCACTGCCTGCTGGAGCATGAACCTTGCATTAGCTGAAGTGGACAGTCCCTGGGTTATTTTCTGTTTATTTAGTTAAGTAGCAACCCAGCCTCATGTGGAATGAGCAAATTGAGAAATGGAAGCCAAGAGTGAGTTACATTTCTCCATTCCTCCACTGAAATGGAAAGCTTTTTGATGATTTAATACAGTGCTGCACTGGAGGAACACTGTATTAAATATTCAGTCAGGCTACAAGCAGAGGAGTATACCAAACCCAACATTTCTCCTTCTCCCACATCCACATTTAAATAGAGAAATACCATCATAGTTATCTTTTGAAAAATCCCTGAGTTACTGTATCTACAGAATTGCTATTTTAAAATCACAGTCTGATATTCTAATCCTATCAAAAGATCCAAATTTATGCTCCCATATTTGGGTGGGGTTTCTCTAGCATTGCATTCCTTCCTCCCCTAGTCTCCATCCAAAGAAGCACTCTTCAAAGGACAACACATCCCAAGTGGATAACTGTAAGCATATTTTAAGTGTTTCTCAATATGTAATTCCGTGGAG